AACGCAACGTACGTAACCGCGTTCAGCTTGGATGGAAATCGTAAACGATTTCCATTCACGATTTCCAAACTTGTAAATCGTAGACGATTTCCATAACCAGTGTTAAGGAAATCGTAAACTCAGACAAATTAATGGATCAAATTTTCCCAGTAGTGACACACTATGTGCATCAAGCACTGATACACCTGTTGACTGAGGCAAACTGGGTAACGATGACGCATGCTTAGTGCCCGTGGCGTAGCTACGAAGAAATACGCATGCCTATTGTTTGAGTTCAAATTTAACCCCGAGTTTCGTCTCGCGTGCCTCAAAAGCTCTTATTTCTTCGACATGTTTTTAACGTATATTTTACACAGTAATTATACGGTCGAAGAATTTGTTCACTTCATTACATATTTTTTCAGTTTGTTAGTTTAATTGCCCTACTTATGAGCACTCCGAGCTGGCTGCCTCGCGCCGATGTATTTTACTACTGGGACACTAACTTACTTTATTTACTATCAGCCGCCGATTGTAGATCTCTGCTCACAAACTGCGTATCTGTATTAATGTCATCTCTGCATCCAATTCCTCAAGCTGCTAGTTTTTTTTATTTTTTTTTATTCCTATTCAGTATTAAAGAGCGCTGAATTATGCTATCAAATTCGTTTTTAATTTGTTTCCTATCAAGTTTCAAGGCCTGTCACGCCTTTTACACATCATTACGGGATGGTCGTCAGTCGATTACATGCGTCGCCGCATTTGCCAGTGTGAGTTTCTGCCCCCATATAAAATCATTATTAACTTTATTGAGTATTTAATGGCATATCAATTCAAAATGTATCGTTCCGAAGTCCTCTATGGAACCACCAGCGGTCAATAAGAAGTTAAGTTAATGAGAAGTTCATTTCATGTGCATGCGAACATCGTTTTAAATCATTATTAACTTTATTGAGTATTTAATGGCATATCAATTCAAAATGTATCGTTCCGAAGTCCTCTATAGAACCACCAGCGGTTAATAAAAAGTTAAATTAATGAGAAGTTCATTTAATGTGCATGCGAGCATCGGAGCTCGCGTGCTGCTTACGCCTCGGCGCGCGCCGCGCGGGAAGGGCGATGTCTCACGCCGCTTTGCAGGCCCGCAGTCACACAATCATTCGGCAATCCATGAGTCGTCATCATGCAATCGCTCCCTGCGCCAATAGCATACATGGCCACCTCCCGCCCTTGAGTTTGTGATGCACTCAAGTGTGCTGTTTAGTTGATGTAATCTATTTGAGAGCACCGATATTTATTATATTTTCATGATACGAACACTAACACAGTAGAATTGTAGGTGACAAATAAACTATGTACAATAAAAAACAATTTACAGTAAAATTATGTACTATATTTTGTATGTAAATATGTAATAGGTAAAAGTAATATACGACAAAAAACACTATAGAGTAAAATTTTGGTTGTATGAAATGCAGAAAACGATGGAAATAATTTAAACGGAGTTACTTATTTTTATTTGTAGCCAATGATTACTGACATCACAATTTATTCCGATGAATTTCATGCTCAGTGTGGCATGAAACCCGCATTATTAGCCAAATGAATTATTTAATGTGAGGTCGCCAGTGCTTGACGGCCGTAATTTCTCTTGACTTCTATTTAATTGTGATCGACGTTGATTGATTTACTCGTGAGAATATTGAAATAATTATTTAATGTACAAATATTTTCCCGTGGTTTTCTCTTGCTGCGCGATTGTGTCACGAAACCACGAATGGCCGCTCGCACGAAAGGGAAAGTTGTTTTGTGTCCATGCATATTTTGGGCTGTTCGACTTGTACTATACAAGCACGACAGCGTTCCTGATAAATTTTGCCTATGCGGAAGGATATGTATTACTGTTGTTTATTGTGTGAACAATTCAATGTGTGAACGTATACTTTTCTGTATTTTAACTGAAGCAATTCACTTCCAAACCTTCATTTTCTTGATATGTACTAATTCATTTGACTAATATGAATTTACTTAAGCTAGGGGCAAAGTCACCCAGATCTCGAAAGCGAAGAAAACGCCAAAAACAGCTTCATCATCACTTAGAAAAATTTCATAGAATATAAATACAATCATCGGTAGAAATCTATATTCAACGAAAGATAGTTAAAATTATATGACGAGAAAACGTCAACGGAACCTAAAAATCCATCGATTTAGGACTTCAAGAAGATAAGAACTTTACGCGTTATTAGCTAATGTCTACGTTTATAAATATTAAACTACTCATTTGACTTATTGATTTCCAAATAATTCAGCCATTGATGTACTGAGAGGACCGTTGCTTTCACCAGGTTCACCTCAATGCCTGACCTTGTCTTGAGGCGTCGGTGCCCGCATTGTTTTGAAATTATTCATGTTTTGTTAATGCCACTGCAGGCGCTCGAGGTTACCTCTGGTCACTGAACTCATCGGCATGCACCCGCGTCCGACATGGAGCGGATACTCTTGACACTGACAAATTAAATACTTGGAATGTTTATCTTATCGTCAGCATAACGTCAGCTGTGCGCTGTACCTTCCACAGCATAACGTCAGCTGTGCGCTGTACCTTCCACAGCATAACATCAGCTGTGCGCTGTACCTCGCACCCATCATTTTTGGTTGCTGTGTAAAGACCTTGTTAGAAACGTTATCATTTGTGTATTTCACATTTTTAATCAGCTATCCTATAATCAGCTAGTGAACATTCTCGTACAAATTTATCAGAAAACTTTAATTGGGCAAAATAACTCTCCGACAACATGTTGCTTCGCACGACTTTGAATGAAAGCCTTAGGCTTTCGGCAACAGCATCGTGCATCAGTTGGCCCAAATGATGGCGGATGAACGATAATCAGAGGCGGCGATCCATCGTGGCCTGGGACTGCTACGTCCGAAACAAATACCAGGATTACCAAGATTACGAATACGAATAAAAGCCTTCGGCTCGTGACGCGGTTTCTCCAACGTTCTTGCTCGTTTCCATGCAGTTACAGAAGTTCGATTCGGCCGTAAACTGGCGCAGTTCCGGCGGTGTTCCGGAGCGCATCCTGTTTGCCGGCTTGTGGTGCAGTGGTGATGTAGTGATGAGCGCCGGATGGTGTAGCGATAGCCCAGCGGTGATGGAGCGATGGCGCAGTGGTTATGCAGTAGTGATGGTATGATGGCGAAGTGGTGATGGAGCGATGGCCCAGTGGTTATGCAGTAGTGATGGTATATGATGGCGAAGTGGTGATGGAATGATGGCGCTGTGGTTATGGAGCGATGGCCCAGTGGTTATACAGTGGTGATGGTATGATGGCGAAGTGGTGATGGAACGATGACCCAGTGGTTATACAGTGGTGATGGAATGATGGCGCAGTGGTGATGGAATGATGGCGCTGTGGTGATGGAGCGATGGCCCAGTGGTTATAGTGGTGATGGTATGATGGCGAAGTGGTGATAGAACGATGTTAGGCAAAACTAAGGGAAACGAGCCTATCGAAATGAATTTGAGAGCAGATAAAAGACGAATCTAATAATTGCTGGAAAAATGTCTCCTTTAATGAAAAGTCGCAGGATGGTAAAAAAATGTCTACAACTCTTATAATTTGCTCAGTGCTGCCTCTGAATTGTTGTAGCGACTCCTCTTTAACGCGCGTGAAAAGGCAAAGAAATCGCCACTCTCTCCCTCGTTTTTCCAACCCGTATATGGTATTCTTAATAATCAAAAAATATTCACGAATGGATATGGTTAAATGGAATGGTTAAAAGAATGGTTATGAAAGGCACAATACAGCTCGGAAGTTAGAAAAAAAATTTGATCGATGCGGTAAAAGGTCAAGAGACAAAAATTTCGCGAAGCGTTGCAAAAAGTATGCCGAGCTGGTGCAAATTATTGCCACACATTTTATATAAAATGAAATTTTAATTACTTACGAAAGATCTTGCAAGAAAGCAAATATAAATTCAAAGTTATCAAAGATCACGAAGGATCGATCATTGCGGGCTTATTCTTTACTCGGGTCTTACCTGAAATACTAAAATATCCTTCGGTGAACGGCGGTAATGAGCTAGTTCCTTGAGCTGGTCGCCACACCCTAACAGAGGTATAGGTTGCCGGGACGCAAGGAGTGGTCGGAGCCGAAGTATAGGAACCATGGGCCAGACTGGATAATCGTAGTACTGACGACTCCAAAATTTTCGTACAGGCGCTCCCGTCTGCGGATCCTGACCATCGTCCTGCGAGGCTTCCATGAGGTTAAAGCTTTATACTTAATATTACCTACAAAGGTAAACCGCGGCCGAAGATTTTTCATATACTGATCCGTGCAGCAACACTTACTGTTCAGAATTAGCTATAATAATATAAAGCTATAATTTTTCGCATTCAAAGAAACATAAATTTTTGAACATATTTTTAATTTATTATCGTCACAAGTGATAATATTTTCACAGGAAAATAAAAAAAAATCAGAAAATTATTCTCGACATTAACGTGATTGAGCGATGACGCAGTGGCGAGCGCTGGGTGATGAGGCGATGGCGCAGTGCATGGTTGATGTTTAAACATGCACCATTACAAACATGAACTTTGAATATTTATAGACCTAAGCTTTAATTAATGCAATTAAGCCAATATAAAGCCAACAAAACTCAAGAATGCACTGAACACAAATAATGTTCTTAAAAATAAGAGTATAACTCCAACTTATCTTCGTCTGCACGAGTTCAAAATAAAAAATACTTAAACTTAAATTTAATACTTAAAACTTAAACACTTAAGACGAAGAATGCATTCATCATGACAGCGAGTTCGTCGCATTCAAGTCATCGCAACTTATGCAGGCCTTTTTCCTGGGCTCTACGAAACGAAAATGCATTTAACGGAATAACTTGGCTAGTCAATATAACCTACACTAGTCTTCTCTATCGAGACCGTGGCTCATAATTGCCTTAGTTATTGCAAAGTCAGCGGCAGCGACGCGAGTGTCCCTTGCCATCCATTATGCAGCAGCGACCGCGCTGTCGAGCTCGTCTTCGGTGCCACCACTTGACGGGCGCGCTTGATGAGACTGCGTGGCGAGGGGACTTGACTTGATGTGACTGTGCGTGGCGAGGGGACTTGACTTGATGTGACTGTGCGTGGCGAGGGGACTTGACTTGGTGTGACAGTGTGTGGCAAGAGGACTTGACTGGATGTGAATGCGTTGCGAGGGGACTTGACTGGATGTGACTGCGTGGCGAGGGGACTTGACTTAGTGGGACTGTGCGTGGTGAAGGGGCTAGGGGACTTGACTTAGTGTGACTGTTCATGATGTGGGAACTTGACTTGATGTGACTATGACGAGTAGACTTGACTGTACCTTGATGTGACTAAGACGAGTAGATTTGACTTGATGCGACTAAACATAAAGTCGAGGGACCGTCCGATTACTGCCCACCACCCACAGCAAGTAGCTATAGCAACAGCATTTTTGCATCAGATGACTTAAATGAAGGAAGATGCACGATGTTCACATTCAACATTACATCCTGACTCCGGTGGTTGGGTGACCTGCCTAATCGACGGCTATGAGACTGTGGATGACGAAGGTTGCGCATCAGAGTGACCACGGACGAGGACGGTTTACACTTGACATAAGAACATAAGGTATAGCGGCGAGATGTAGTGTGATGCATTACATCGTCTGTGGGAGGTATAGCGGCGAGTGATATTTCGTGTTGTCTCTTTAATTCAGCTTTACATGCCAGCAAAGATATTAAAATTAAAAGAAAAGAACACAGGCCGTGCATTAGCAATTGTCGAGTTTCTAACTGACGAAAAACTGAAATAAATTATTTAAATTATGTGAGTATTCTGTAGACGCAATACTGAAATAAAATACCGTCACATGAGGCAATGGAAACGCGCAAGACGCGAGAAATAGTCGTGCGCAAGACGCGCCTATATACATCGCTTGAGCTCTCAGGTCGGCTTTGTTGAGCTAACTTGGCGCTCCCTGAGTATGTCTAACAATTAGAAACTAATTGAAACTCTAGGCTTGAAGTCGATCAATTAAAACTTGCTTAACTTCAGTAGGCTCAAGTTGGGCACTAAATATTTCGTGATGGCATCTTCTCAGACGGCAGCGTAAAATTTATTGAATGTTGTTTGTCTGTTTCAAGTAAACCGCGTTGTGGGAAGTTTATTTGGGAATAACGTCATTTAAATCTCCTCCTGGCGACATTACCTCTGAACGGTATAGGCATGCAACGCTGGCGACATTACCTCTGTACGGTATTGGCATGCAACGCTGGTGGCGTTGCCTCTGTACAGTATTGGCATGCAACGCTGGTGGCGTTGCCTCTGTACAGTATTGGCATGCAACGCTGTACAGAGGCACGCATTCTAATATAGTATTCATTACCTACTTCGTCATCACAGTTTCATGAATATAGTAGCATTAGAACCCATTGGTCGTCGTAAGAAAAGTTCCGGGTGCTCGACTTTTGTGTCCTACTTACAATTTCTGTTTGAGCAATGTTCTTCCAGTTAGAAGCCTTGATTCCTGAAATGTTTCATTATGTAGGCACATGAGCAATCATCATGCACACTCACACATCATGCTCATGCACACACAATCGTGCGCATTTATCCATCTAATACGGATACCATCCTTGCACCACATATCATCCATTCCTTGTGAACAAATGCATCGGTGAGCAAATAAAGTGTCATCATAACGCAATCTTGGTTAGCCACTACAATGCCCCCATCCATGCAATTCATGCTCGGCGGTTGAGTAGTTTGCGGCAAGACGTGTGTTATTTGTGGCATTTGTTCGCCGCGGTCATTGGGGTCTCCACAAATGGCTAAGCTCTGTCAGTCCTGTCATGCCTATCCGCTGATACTCAACCCGTCCTATGTCACTGACCGCACCCACCGTCACGCTGCCTATAGGGAACGGCTGCCGTATTATCTTCATGTCCCGCATTCTTGTTGTGAAGGCTGCCGTATTATCTTCATGTCCCGTATTCATGTTGTGAAGGCTCCGTATTTCCTTGTTCCGTATGTTCGGTTCTCTGTGCTGAATCTAATGAGGCTGTTCCCTGCGCTTTTGTTGATGCTGCTCCCTTAAAATAACGCTGTTCCCGGTACTATAACTGGCATTTTTACTTGTGCTGTAATTGACATTGTTACCCGTGCTGTTATCGACGTTACCGGTGCTTTTATCGACGCTGTTACCGGTGCTGTTATTGAAGCGGTTACCGGTGCTGTTATTGACGCTGTTACCGGTACTGTTATTGACGCTGTTACCTGTGCTGTTATTGACGTTGTTACCGGTGCCGTTATTGGCATTACCGGTGCTGTTATTGACATTACCGGTGCTGTTATCGACATTGTTACCGGTGCTGTTATTGACGTTACCGGTGCTGTTATTGACATTGTTACCGGTGCTGTTATTGACATTACCGGTGCTGTTATTGACATCACCGGTGCTGTTATTCGTCAGATCGTCGGCGCGGCCGCCAATTTCCTCGTCATCTCCTGCGCCGCTGCGGGGCTCCCAGCGCCGCGCTCTCACTCTTCTCCCGCTCTCTTTCATCGGTCCTTGCTCTTTTTCTTCGTATCCTATGGCCATACTTTCAAAATTCATTAAGTGAACGTATGTACTTACGCTCTATTTTCTTGTCTATGATTTGTGGATTTTGCTTGAAAGGTCGTCAATGATTGGCTGATGAACTTATGATCTCTTAACTTTTTTAAAAGTATAGGCCCTATTCGCTTCCACTTCATCTATTCGCTTCTGTTGCATGACTTCCGCTCATTACCATCGGCTCCCACTCTTTTTCCCCACATCACATTCCTACCACTTTCCAAATTCACTTTTGCCAGCTTCCGCTCTATTCCATCTTCTACCACTTTCTTCAACCGAGTATCACTTATTTTTTTGCTTACTTTACCTTAAACCCATGCATTTTTATGCTATTTTTAAAAGCTTTCTTCGACGTACGCTTCATAATAATGACTTCGTTGCATGGGATCATGTAACCGATAATTGTGAATTAAAATGAAATTTTTCACATTCAAATCGTCCGTGCTAGTTTCTTTTATTTCCTGTAAACATTCCAACCTAATTAACATAATTAAACACCGCACGACTCTGCAGTTCATTCCGACGTGAGCGTTCCTCCTTTTGTCTCTCATAAAACTTCATTGTTTGAATTATTTTCATTTTGTGCTCCTCACGCGGAAACTTGAATGGCAGTTTTCGTAAGTATTATTTTTTCGTTAACTAGTTTTCGTAAGTATTATTTTTTCGTTAACTATTTGTGTGTGTAATTATGTTATCGTAAATATCGTAGAATGCGGTAAAATATTAGTTTAGCTATCGATTAACATTGTATCATTTAATGTAGATTGCATGTAATACTGTAACATATTGCATTAAACATCGTGTAATGCAGTAACATATTACCGCAAATATCGTCTAATGCAGTAACATATTACCGCAAACATCGTGTAATGCAGTAACATATTACCGCAAATATCGTTTAATGCAGTAGTAACATATTACCGCAAATATTATACCGCAAATATCCTCCATATATATATCCTCCATATTATATTACCGCAAATATCCTCCATCACGCAGCAGATTTCTCAATTTTGGAAGCAATTTGGAATTCGTGTTCCCGCGATGGATTCGATGCCGCAGCTGTAAAATCTTGCATGTTTTTAAATTCACGCCGTGATCGGTTTAACGGGAATGGCTCTCAAGGTCTGGACGGTTATGGCCTGTTATTTGATTTAGCTTCTTCATGTCTGCTATGCAATATTTCATGCTATATGCAGAAGTCTTCCCGTCTATATAGTTTAGTAGAAGTTAGACGTTTGTTTTCCAATGGCAAACATCTTCATCCGTTGTTTATCACGGCGTTATTTATGATTCGTTGCGTATTATTGCCCGTTTTTTTAACCGTGTTTGTATCACAAGGTATTTCATCTTGCAATGTTCATAGCGCTCTTCGATCATCATTTGTTAATGTTTCACGGAGCTTTTCAACATCTCAACGAACTGATAATGTGCCGTTTTAAGAATATGTTTTTTTAATTGGCTCGGCTCTTAGAATCTCTTTGAAAATTTCTAATATATTTGAAATATATTAGTATTATAATATATTTTTCTAATATATTAATATATTTGGATCTCTCTATGGCAGATATTCTGACTGAACCTTTTTTGAACAGACAAATGGCTGCGAAACACCAAAGCTCTGACCTGAAATCTCCCCCCCTCCTCAATGCCAATTTCCAGGTTCTGGAATGAGCCTGAGGAAATTCTAACCTAATGTGGGTTTTTCGGGGTTTTAAAGCCAAACCCATGGTTTGAAAACCATAGAATAAGGGTTCCATGGTTTGAAAATCCTTTGCTTCCTTCATGAGGATGGCATTGTCTATGTATTCTGCTTGCGTTTTCAAATTTTCTAAGCCTCCTTTCACAATGTTCGCTTGTTCTAACCGGTATAATTGGCCGTCCCTAGCGGTAGCAACGCTTTCCCAGACATTAGCTTTGGCACAAAAAAAATAATTATTCACAAACTGAATTGAGAATTTCGGATGTTGCTCTATCTTTCGCATTCATCATTTAGCATCTTCAACATGTTTGAACTCTGAATATTATTAAGAATAATAAAAATTTAGTTTATTATATAAGAAATCAAAGTCTCCAAATATTTTGATAATTATTTATCTATGATGTTGCGAATTTTTTTTGTTCTTTTCGCTATAAAGCTCAACTGAAGGAAGATTATTTACTTTATAAACTTTTTCTCAAGCGCAGACTATAAACGAAAAAAATTAGTTTTTTGCCTGTTTCTTATGTAAGAAAAAATTTAAAGCCACAAGTTTTTGGAGCCGCAGCGCTAATCACAGCGAACTGCGCTATTTTTCTCTGTCGTTCATTTATTGATTCGTTTATGTTTCAATCCTCAGTTTAAAATTTGCTTGCTTATATTCACACTCATTACATTTGTGTTTTATTAATCACGCTCGATATCGTAAGCTTGTCGCTTCGCATTGTTTGGGTTACTTTTTAGAGGTTTTTATGCCTGCGCTCGAATCTAAGACCATTAATATTTATTCTCTTATTTTTTACCTCACTTCATTGTTTTTAATTAATGTTTATTCCTCTTCTTTTGTTCGTTTCCTCTACTCTCTTTGTCTCTCTTTTTCTTTCTTCACCATCGCTCCGTTTCTCCTACGTTCCCTCCTCCTCCTTCCTCTTCCCTCTTTTTCTCATCCTCTTACCTGTCCCTTATTTATATTTCGCTCTCTCTCACCCGCAATCACATTGCAGCTTTGCTAAAAACAACTCGCAAATCGAATAAGGCTTTGCATCGACGCTGCTCAAAATTGCGTTTCCGGATTTGCCCGTCTATGTCGAGTGTTGTCCGGCTTTGTGTTACAGATTTGTCCGGAAATGGCAGTTGAAATTCGCCATGGTCTTCCAACCTAATGTCTATGGCATTTCCAGTTGTTGTTCTCAGCTAACGGGTGTCCGCGGCTATAACCGAAGGCATTATTAGAATTTCAATTATTTAAAATGTTTCTATTTCAATGGTTGTCTCCTCAAGATGAAGTACGAGATTGCTTTTATATTGATATTGTAATGATTGTATTCAATTGTTTAATCGAATTGCAAGTAATGACTGTATATCTAAAGCTCTCCATATGTACATTTTGTTCGGTGCGAACTTTTTGTATTGCCTCTTTATCTAAGCGACTGTTACTTCATTCTTCAGTAAAGATTCATGATTGTAATCCTGGAATCTAATTTTCTCTGGAATCCCCTTTAATTAATCTTATTACACGTTCACGCCTTGAGTGCTTGCGCGCTTGGCTGGCTGGTCAAACTTAATCCTATGAGACGGGAAAATTGAGAGTTTTTTCGTAAATCATTTCATAAAATTCCACTATTTTACTCATAAAAGCAGGTATGAAATATTGATAGGGGCTGATTTCTCTAAATTCTATCGAATCGAAAGTTAATTCTTGAAAACTGTCTTGGAGGGATGTTTATTTTTGTATATTTAGGTCAACTTCATGTTGTCTTTATGTTTATACATTATTGTATGTTGAACTTTTCTCGTTTCTCTCGTCTTTAGTAAGTTAAACATTGGGCCTATTAACCGTAGATTTATGTGGACGCCGCGCATGCGACAACTTTTTTGTTGAGTCTTGAATTGGATGACGAACTGTGAGTTGCTAGGAGCAGTTTTTTAACAATTTTTATTATGCCTTAACTGCATGCGTAATATTGCTTGCTCCCTTAATGCCCGTGAATGTTAAAAAATCGCTTAAAATACATTTTAACAATATGGTTTTGGTTTTTCTTGCATAGATCAAACCGATTAGTGAGTATTTTTTAATACTCATTTACAGGAGATTCAAAGCTTAAAAGCAACCTAAACACATCCTCCCTTTCTTTTTGTAATAACACGTATACCAGTTTTCCACTCGCAACATTATGTCCGACAAGCTTGCCTTTAGACGAGCGTATACTGACCTCCGACAGTGGCCTCTTCTTTTTACTGCCGCTCTCTGAGCCCTTGATTGTTATCATTTCGACCGGCGTCATTCAATACTTCCTCAATTTCGAAGCTTTGATAGAATTATGTGGCCTTCAATGCCGCCAATTGCCAAACGGAAACTCGATCCCATCGTAAAACGAACCGGCATTTCACATCCACTGAAGTCAGCTGTAAATGTGGAGAGATTGCCGTAGAGTTGAAGCTACGTGACCTTATCCGTAATTGGAACCTCACTGAACCGCCGGCTCCAAAACCTCACTGAACCTTCGGCTCCAAATCATTGGCCACTTAGCGGCCACTCACCAAAAGTTTCTGTAAGTTGTGTCTTTTGTGTTACCAATTCAAGCAGCCCCTCATTGAGAAGCTGAAGTATTATAGACTAGAATAAGTTTCTCAATTGAACAAGACTCATATAGACTTGTACCTAGAATAGGCTGGCATTAACTCTAATTATTATAAATACAGCATTGATCATGGGTGCTTAGTAGACTTGTTCTTAAACAAAAGTTTATTAGCAAATAGACTTGTTCCTAACCAAAAGTTAAAGTTATCAAAGGTTATAAACGTCAAGGTCATTAATCTTTCTCAGTAGTGATGGAGAAAAATTTTCTTGTTGCTATTTGCGTAATTAAAACTTCCGACAATATTGGTTATTGAAATTGTCATGTTCGCTGAAAAACGGTACTAAAATAATTAAAAATGGATTCTCTTGAAACATTCGATGCTTTGTTATTTATATTATTATGAACCTTCAAAAATTAGGAGCAACAATGGTAGAAATTATAAACGCTAAGACTAAACCGCGCTTGTTGGGTTTAAAAAATTGATCTACATTGTTCGTAAGACTTCGTTGGTTGAATACATTACAGCTTTTTGCGATGAAAAAATTACATTGTTATCACACGTTCCGGATATTTGCGCACAGAATGAACACAAATACTTGAGCCGACATAGACAACTAAGTGCTAAGTGCTTCTGGTGCTGTCTTGAATTGTTTACCACTTAGCATGATCTTTCTAGTGGAAGAGCTTCGCTATTAGTTTTACTA